CTCTCTAGGCCTGAAAGCAAAATGAGGAAAAATCTCCAAAAACAACAAATACAACAATCCTCTAATTAACCAGCACCAGACGAAGCCGAAGCACTAATTTTAAATGTAAAATCTCTAGTAGGAGTTTTCACAAAGCCGACTGCCTCTGCAACCACCACAGCACTGAGCCAATTCCTAAGCAACAGTGTTGTCACATCAGAGGAAGAAGAGCGAGTCACATGCACCTCCCTACCTGGAAGAACCACTTCTTGCGGCTGAATTGGGCAGCGGAAAGGCATGCATGCATGGCTGGCAAAGCCATCGATTGCTTTAACCTCCCTGGAGGTCTGATTATTTCATTTTTTGTTTCTATTTGTTTCCTCGTTTTTTTACTTTCAAATCTCCCGCCGGTTCCGCCCCCCTGCGACGCGGACGCTCGCAAGGGAACAGAACCCGGAAGGCGGATGCCGGCATCGGCCGGAGGACACAGCGAGGATCGTGGACAAGGTAAGACGCTACAGTGTAATCACGAGCGTGGCTCGGGGGATACCGCTTTTGGTAATGAAAATTAACCCCCGAGCCACACTCGGGATTACCGCCAGGGAGGTTAAAGAACAACTGCGGGCAAATAAAACCTTAACCCTTGTGGTGGGGCTACCCCTGCGCAGCAAGGGTTTAGTGCTCATTTTGTCTGGAGAGCTAAAATAACAGTTATACTCACACGAACTACGATCCCGGCTGGCTGTTATACCAGTCCCTTCAGCCTCGCTCCCCCTCTGCTTCAGCGGTCTAAGGTACAGTGAGTCATCATGTTCTATAAGGTCTATTAGACATGAGGACGCCGAGAGACATTCCATCACTGGAGTGGAGCGGGAACTAGGCTGAAGAGACTGGTATAGGAGTTAGGCAGTATCGTGGTCCGGGTGAGTATAACTCTAGTTATTTTAGCTCCCTAGAGAAAACGAGCACTTAACCCTTGCAGTGGGGGGGGGGTAGCCCCACTGCAAGGATTAAGATTTTATTTGCCCGGAGTCTGGATATGGATTGTCCGGAACATGTATGACTGATGCTTTGGGTTTTACTTTGTTATTTATGGACAAGTAGCACTCACATTTGGACAGGACACATGGCTCCAGGGAGGCTGGTCTCACCACAAACATGGTACCCCATAACTAGAGGACCCAGAGTTTGGAATCCCAGTAAATAAAGTCTTATGAGGGTGCCTGGCCAAGGTACTAAGAGTCCAAAAATCTTTTAATACTGATGTTGATTAATACAAAAAGACAAAAAACCGCAAACGCATTTCAGGGGCTCCATTCTTTAGGCCTTGTATCTGTCTTGTAGCCCTGAAGAAGGGGGGAGAACGTTGAGCCCGCAACATGCCTTGGCTGTTTTAGGTCTTCTTGTATGAATAAACATCACTATGAAGAGATGTTTGGACTCTTAATTCCTTGTTCTAGCACTCTTGTTAGACTTTCTATACCTGAATACAGATTGTGACGGGTCAACCTAAATATTCCCATATCTTAAACATAACATTTTTTTTAATATTATTACACCAAACCCAATGAGGGTGAACCATCTGCAGACAACACAGTGAAAAATACAAATGTTGCAAGAATAAAACAAAGACCCTTACCACAGGAGACGGGGACAGTGCTATGTTTCCTATGGATGCTTTGAGCTCATCCACCGATGCAGCACTTTTCAAGTCTTTGGCCTGGAGAGGCTTTATCCTGATGTTGAACTTCTTGCGAGACTCTTGCTCTTCCTCCGACTCACTTGAGGAGTAGAAGTGTTTTCCTTTGGTTGGTAAATCAAAGTTAAAGATCACTCGCGAATCTCTGAGTAATGTACTATAACAAAGACAGGCCGCATCCCACAAAGTCATGGTATAGGGAGAAAGCTAGATCTAGATGTTATTTGATCTTGAAAAAACCTGCAGGGTAAAACCACGCCTATACATTATGACCACCTACCTAAGATTGAGTAGATCCCCCTTTTGTCGCCAAAACAGCCCTGACCTGTCGAAGCATGGACTCCACTAGATCCCTGAAGGTACGCTGTGGTATCTGGCACCAAGTCGTCAGTAGCAGATCCTTTAAGTCCTGTAACTTTCAAGGTTGGGCCTCTATGGATCATACTGAGAATTTGGAGGCCAAGCCAACATGTCAAACCCGTTGTGTTCCTCAAACCATTTTTGCAGTGCGGCAGGGCACATTATCCTGCTCAAAGAGGCCACTGCCATCCGGGGATACCGTTTCCATGAAGGGGAAACCCAAGGTTTCAGCAATTTGAGTTACAGTAGCTTTTCTACATGGGCCAGCTCTGCTCCCCACGTGCATCAATGAGCCTTGGCCGCCCATGACTCTGTCGACGATTCACCGGTTATTCTTCCTTGGATCACTTGGTAGGTTCTGACCACTGCAGACCAGGAAGATTTCCACAAGAGCTGCAGTTTTGGCGTTGCTCTGACCCAGTTGTCTAGAAATCAGAATTTAGCCCTTTGTCAAAGTCACTCATATGCTTACACTTGCCCATTTTTTCTGCTTCCAACACATCAAATTTAGTGACTCTTCCAGGTGCCATTTTAATATATCCCCCCCACTTCCAGGTGCCATTGTAACATATCCCCGCTACTTTCAGGTGCCATTGCACTGAGATAATCAAGGTCATTCACTTCACTTCTCAGTGGTCAGAATGTTATGGCAGATCGGTGTATAGTCTGACTTGCTGCTACAGCTGTACACACCCTCATTTGCAGAAATCGTATTAATAGTGCTCACCAATTTGATAGGTGACTATAAGAAAAAAAAATGGTTGCTGAAGGTCTGTTTCCTTGTTCATAGTGAAGGACTATCCCTATCCCTGTCTTGTTCTGAAGGGCTATTCAAGAAGGTAAAAAAAGACAGATTTCAGGTAGCAGAACTCCAGTATTAGTTCTTAATTATAAAATGCCCGATACCTGTTCTTGCTGCAATACTCACCTCCTCTGCAGGCTCACTACTTCTTTCCGGGTTGGATGACACCCAACGCTATCTGATCCCCTTTTTGACACAGCTAAGTCCTCATGCAATCTTTGGCTCACAGTACTCCTGGACTGCAAAGCCCTCGCATGTCATTATGTTAGTGCCCCTCAGTCTATGAGGAAGGACGGCCGAGGAAACAGACTTGTGATGTCACCGGACTGGTCTGAACACTCATGGAAAAAATGTATAGGGTTTTTTTTAATTAAAATATATCAAAAGGGGGCATCTGGGAGAGGAGGGGCGGTGGTTGGGAAAGTAGTAATTATTTAAACTAATCCGTTGTTTTAAATACAGAATTGAATGAAAGGATCTCGTTATATATAGAATGTATATTTGCCTGGAGTTCAGCTACAACAGGGGTGGGCAACTCCGGCCCTTCAGCTGTGCTTTAACTACAAATCCCAACATGCCTCTGCAAGTCATGCCTGTAACTGTCAGTCTTGCAATGCCTCATGGGACTTGTAGTTCCACAACAGCTGGAGGGCCAGAGTTACCCACCCCCGAGCTATAAGGACGCATTTCACAGCTTTGGATTCCGGACATAATGCATGTATTTTCTGTAACAAAAGGATATCGCCAGGTTCAATGTCTGGTCTGCTACTGTATCCCTCCTCATCCACCTCTGGAGAATTCTGTAAAGATACAACAAACACATTTGTTTCTCCGCACACAGAAAACCTATATAGCTCACGTGAACACAGACCACTGGGAAAGGCAAACTTACATATCGCTCCCAGTCAATCTCTGCATAGAATCCATTTGGTGCCCCATTGGCTTTCTTCTGCAATATAGCAAAGAAAATGTCATGATTAGGTAGAACACTGACAGAGCAAACCGTCCAGACATTAAAGGTGCAGGAAGTCCGGATCCGGCTGACCTATGCTTCAAAAACAAAGCCCAACTATGATGAAATTAAAAATAAATTCAAACAGATCCCCCGCCGGTGTTAAAAATAAAAGAAGCAGCACCTGCTGCAATACTAAAGCTGTCCATATACCTATAGATTATCTGCCGATTTTCTATGATCAGATGGAAAAAGTGCAACAGATTCCCCTAAACTGTGTGGATGGAGGAATATCTCCCACTGGGCCAAGCTTCAGTATCTTGCTAGTCGGCTAGTAAATACCTGAACAATCTGATTGGATGCAGGCATTGTTCAAGTATTTTGAGAGCCAGCGGGGCCGACTAACAAGATACTGAAGATTGGCCCAGTGGGAGATTCCTCCATCCACACAGTTTAGCGTAGATGGGAGGTATCTGTTGCCCTTTCTCCATTTGAGCATAGAAAATGTATAGGTGTATGACCAGCTTTACCTTCCATCCTGAGCTGTCCCACACAGTAGTGTGTGAGGCAGTCTCAGTCCTCCGGGTTGAATGATGCTTAGCGTCACTCAGCATGGAAAACTGAGGAAATACTGTAAATATATAAATATAACTGTAAATAAATATATATATATATATATATATATATATATGCAAAAAAAATAATATTAGAATATTGCAGTGTGCAATGACACCTTTCTTATTGGACTAAAAAATATACAAAAAGGACAAGCTTTCGAGAGCTGACCTCTCTTCTTCAGGTCAGAAGCAATACTTAAGAATCAGTATTGCTTCTGACCTGAAGAATAGAGGTCAACTCTCAAAGTTAGTCCAATAAGAAAGGTGTCATTGCACACTGCAATACTCCGTTTTTTGTTGTTTTTTTACATCTGGTCTACTGGACTAATACAGCTTACCCATTTACATTACACTAATATATATATTAGGGCTGTGGAAATTAAAGATTAATTTCTCGATTAATCGTTAAACTTTTTGATCGATTACAATTATTTTGATCGCTAATGAAAACACCCCCCTCTCCGCCGACTCTCGGGAGTCCCGTCGGCGATCCGGTGACGTCACGGACATCGACGTCACCGGACTCCTTCCCCAAGTGGTTCCGTCGCCTAACGAAGGGAAGGGGGAGGAGTCCGGTGACGGCTAACGAAGGGAAGGGGGAGGAGTCCGGTGACGGCTAACGAAGGGAAGGGGGAGGAGTCCGGTGACGGCTAACGAAGGGAAGGGGGAGGAGTCCGGTGACGGCTAACGAAGGGAAGGGGGAGGAGTCCGGTGACATCGATGTCCGTTATCACGGCTTGAACTATCTTGCTTTGCATGTAATGAGTCTATCTCATATATTAGTTTCACCTTTTAAGTTGCATTAGTGAAATAAATGAACTTTGCACGATATTCTAATTATTCGAGTTTCACCTGTATATATACATACATACACACACACACACACACAATTATAAAAACACCCTATAATCCCTCTGGATCACAAATTAAAAAAAAAAAAGAGTTGTAGACAAGCTCCCATGTGGCTAGAAAGGAACATAGACGGTTACAATAAACAAAGAGGGACAAAAGGCCTTTACTTACACCGGGGTCTCGGTCTGGTGATCCCCTGTCAGGAAAAAAAACAAGAAGTTAATTAGGGGGAAAAAAAACGAAAAAAACTTATCAGATCCCAAAAGAGTAACAGAAGATGATTAATATGTTTTCCCGTTGGTAAGTCCCAAAAACGCTGCCAACACTTGAATACAGACAAGCCTCAGTTCAAAGTTCCCCAAATTTTTATAACACATATAAGCCTACATCATCACGCATACAACACAGAGGTCATTCAAGAAATTAGTGCAATACTTCTCATTGAACAAAGCTCATTTTACTTTGTAATTCACAGGTAATAGCCAAAAAGATTTCCAATTCTGTGTGGCTAGACTTGTAATGCCGGCACTCCTACTAGAAATCACAGCTCAGGCATTAAAGCAGAACTCTGGGGAACATTAATCTTAAGCCTTGCATTGGAGCTAAACCCCCCCCACCCCCCACACACACACACTGTAAGTTTGGTCTAGAGAGGAAAATAAAAAGGTATACTCACCCAATCCTCAGAGCCGACCAGCTGTGACAGTGCTCCCTCCAGCCTGTCACCTCTTCTGCTGCAGCGATGGAATGGCCCTTGGTGTCCTCACGTTCTCTACACAGTGTTTTGAATGTGATGACTCACAGATTAGGGCTGCAGCTAACGATTATTTTCATAACCGATTAGTTGGCCTTTTTTTAAATTTTATTAATCGGATAGAATAAAAACAAATACCATAATTTATTTAAAACAAAACACGCAAATGCAGCGTTACAGACCAAGTTTACGGTAGGCACATTTGATAAAATCGCACTGCAGTAGAACGCAGGGCATTGCAGTCCTGCGTGTTCCAGTGCGGGCGATCACACTGCGGAAGGGAAGTGCATTTGGGATCCGTTGAAATGAATGGCACGCAGGAATTAATTTTCCTACCTTTTATATAAGAGCAGGAAAACAGTAATAAAACTCATCCTCATAGAGCCCAACAATACAGAACCCTGATAACACTAATAAGAACCCTGCGTGTAGCAGCACAGAGGAGACCTCATCTTTTACAGCTTTCCGGTAATTCAAGGCATATTAGAACACAACACACGGGAGAGGTGACAACTTACGTGGAATCAGTGTCCTTTTCTTTCTTCCGTATACCAAACGCTTTCCTTGTACGTTTTTTCAGTCCTGTGGATGACAAAAGCAGATCATGAACACTCGTTATCTCACACTAGCGCACACTCACTCATAAGGCACAACAGTATATTAGCCGTCTTCTGAAAATCGGCGTCGCTGATTTCGGTGCTGGAAATGTTGCCATGTGCATTTTTGGCACAAAAGAAATGTTCAACACTAGAGCTGCAGCTAACGATTATTTTCAAAATCGGTTAGCTGATTATTGAGTTCGATTAATCGGTTAATCGGATCAACAATAAAATACATTTTTAAATATGGCTCCAGTGATGGACTACTAGTTTGTATTGAGATTGCAGTCCATCACAGGAGCAAGCTTGGAGCGGTGGAAGTAAAAAAGAAAAAAAATAGTATAATATAATATAATATAGTGAAAAGGAAAGTGTAAAATTATACAGCAATGAATGCAGAATGGCACCGACTATAGAGGACTACAAATGCCAGCAATAGTACATTATACAGCGCAATGCAGAATTCCGCCAGCTATAAGGTACTATTGCTGGGATTTGTTGTATTCCTCTATAGCTGGTGGTATTCGGCATTGCACCACTGTATAATGTATTAGTACTGGAATTTGTTGTACTCCTCTATAGCTGGTGGTATTCCGCATTACGCTGTATAATGTACTATTGCTGGCATTTGTAGTCCTCTATACAGCGCAGTGCAGAATATCACCAGCTATATTGGAATACAACGAATCCCAGCAATACATTATACATATAGTGTATAATGTATTGCTGGGATTTGTATTCCTCTATAGCTGATGGTACATTGCTCTGTATAATATACAGCACAATGTATAATATACAGCACAATGTACCATCAGCTATAGAGGAATACAAATCCCAGCAATACATTATAGAGCACCATGTGGGGGAAAGTGCAGGCTTACCTGAGCAGTCTTCCAGCAACTTGCTTCTGAGATCGGACCTATCGGCGCCTGTCATCCCCCCACACCTGCTCCTCCTTACTACATCTCCCCGCGTGCCTGTGCCGATCGTGGAGGTGGGCAGGTGGTGAGTGTGAGGCGGGAAGGAGGTGCGGCATGAAGAGCGTGGACGCGGGAGGGTCTGGCAGTGAGGAGCGTGAGGTGGGGAGGAGGTGCAGCGCGCCGCGTGTGTGGAACCGTGAACAGGGCCAACTGATCGGAAGCCAATTAATCGATTATTGAAAAAGTTGACAACTTTTTTAATAATCGATTATGTCGATTAGTTGTTGCAGCCCTATTCAACACACATGACTACTATGTGCAGGACTGTGTCGAGAGGACGCCGGAGCCGGACGAGTAGCTTCCAGGCCAGCCGTTGTAATTAAAACGGACGGCTGGAAGCTTTACATTCAAGTGACATCGCTTGTATTAGCTGCGCCCTTGGGGGGGGGATGCACAGATACCCACTACCGAGCATTTGGGAGAGTAATCGTGCAGTGATCTGTCTTTCTTACAGGAGGGGGCAGAGACAAGACCAGGTCACCCTGCACAAGGAGAGAGATCAGCAGTGACCAGTCTTTATTACAGGAGGGGGTGGAGACAAGACCAGTCACTCTGCACAAGGAGAGTGATCAGCAGTGACCGGTCTTTATTACAGGAGGGGGCGGAGACAAGACCAGTCACCCTGCACAATGAGAGAGAGCAACAGTGACCGGTCTTTATTACAGGAAGCTCCGAGTCTCACACGGGATTACTGCACAGCTCTGGAAGAAATACACAAAGCTCACCAAGATTCAAGTAGGAATACACATGGCTTTTGTATATTACCTATATATAAGAGCCATGTGTATTAGATAATATTTGCTTATCGCGGATTTCAGCTTCAATGCGATTTGGTGATGCTGGCGTGAGTCCTACTCATTTATGTGACTTTAACAAGCCTGCTATAAAAGATTCTTTCTAGCATGCTATGCTGACCAATACATTATGTTCTATTTTTGGACACTACGAGGCTCCTGGTTTTGAGACATTGGAAAGAAAGCAGCACAAGTGCTTGGCTTTGCCCCAAAGCATTGTGGGAGATGGGACTCAGCTGTTGAGTTCCATTCAGTAGGCCTCCATACAACAGCCAAGCCTCTCTCTCAGGAGACCTACATTAAGCCAACGCCGAATGGCAAATATTTCCTTTCCTTGATTAGAAGTTCCCTTTTAAGAATTTAAATAGCTGCAACTCTTGCACAGCTGAGGTCGCCACAAGTGCGGTGTGAATAGATCATGCATTGCAGTTATAAATCGCCAACTGACCCCCAAAAAATTGGAAAATTTGGGGTTGTTTCTAGTCATTCGATTCCCCACAGTCTTTTTTTTAAGATCTCTCAGGGATTGCAGTAACCAGGTCTTTGCATCACAAAACAAAAACACGCATGCCATATGAGAGTATACATGTATAATAGTGCGTGCTTGTAAGGTATCAGAAACACCACTGATATAGCACAACAGTAAGTTAGGACGACATCTTTATTTTATACATAAATATAAAAGAAAATTTGGATTGTGCATATGAAAACACTTAAAACCGTGATCCTTCCTTCATATTGGGGCATATAATCAAGACCTCCCTGATAGAGACACCAGCAATATTAATGACCATATCGAGTCCAAAAAATGCGATATCATGATGTCAAGGGGTGCCAATATTCCTCAACGCGTTTTGTGCCCAATATAGGGGGCTTCTTCAGGAGGAAGGAAGAGGGTGCTCTATATAGATAGATATACACGAAGGCCAGTATACAAATATATCATATTATGAAACATTGTAGCGTAGATATTACATTTATATAATAGATATATGACATTTAGGGAGAGGTGGACCTAATGTCCATTGGTAACTTAAATATTATATTTTTGGTATTCTCGGACCTCTGTGTACCTCAGCTCTTTTCTCCAAACGGTTGCCAAAACTGGTGACAACATTGCAGGGATTTTCCCTTTTGGTTTTTATAGACGCCTTTCTTCCTCCAAGTGGTCACACCAATGTAACAGGTCATTGGATATTCATGTGATGATACAATGCATCAATATGTAATATCTACGCTACAATGTTTCATAATATGATATATTTGTATACTGGCCTTCGTGTATATCTATCTATATAGAGCACCCTCTTCCTTCCTCCTGAAGAAGCCCCTATATTGGGCGCGATATGCATTGAGGAATATTGGCACCCCTTGATACCATGATATCGCATTTTTCAGACTCGATATGGTCTTTGGATAAGTCATTAATATTGCTGGTATCTCTATCAGGGAGGTCTTGATTGTATGCCCCAATATGAAGAAAGGATCACGGTTTTAAGTGTTTTCTTATGCCCAATCAAATTTTCTTTTATATTTTTGTATAAAATAAAGATGTCATCCTAACTTACCTTTGTGCTATATCAGTGGTGTTTGATACCTTACAAGCCCACATTATTATACATTTCCTCTTTGGGTGTGGTATCACTTCTGCTCCATATTTATCCCCAAATTCTATATATAGCATATGACCGTATGAATGTTACTCCCTTTTATTACAAAGCTAATAAATAATAAAGCTCAGCGCCAATGTAACTGGAGAAGTGCTTAACATCAATAACATCATTAAAACAATAATTTACACGGGGCTGGGGAGTGTTTCACAAAAGGTCTCTTGTAGCGGCATCCTGGAATGGTTTTAAGGCCATTCGGAATCGGCAATGGGAATGTAATGGGATTGCAAGGATGGAAAGATGCATGTCCGAATTCCTGCCCTGTAAGTGAGGTCACCTACACCAGGGATGGACCAATTTATATGGAAAATAGAAGCCAGTCTGTCCAATCCAGGAGCCATCCCCATTGACAACAACTCTCTGACATGCAGCATATGGGTAAATGTTTGTGGACACCGGACCATCTATAAGAGCTTGTTGGGCAACTTATTCCAAAACCACCACCAATGATATGGACTTTGCCTTCTTTGCTACTTTGGCAGCCTCCACTCTTCTGGGAAGGCTGTCCACAAAATCTGAAGCATGCGGGTCGGAATTAGAGCCCATTCAGCCAAAAGAACATTTGTGAGGTCAGGTACTGATGTTGTAGGAGTAGACCCGGCTCGCTATTAGCATAATAATTCATTCCAGTGTTCAGTAGAGTTGAGGTCACGGCTTTGTGGAGGACACTTGAGTTCCTCCACACCAAAGTTATCAAACCATGTCTTTATGGAGCTGGTTTTGTACACAGGGGCACAGTCATGCTGGAACAGAAAAGAACCTTCACCAAATTGTTATCACAAAGTTGGGAGCTCACAATTGTCTTTGTATTTCGGCATTGACAGTACCCAACACTGGAAACACTTAAACTCAACCATTTGGAGAGGTAATAGTCTGGTGCCCATGAAGTTTTGGTCAGTGTATTACACAATTTGGGGTACTCAAATCATATACTGCAGGGGGTGGACAAATTGATACAGGATGTAGGAGTATAGCTTTTTTATGCGGTACCATCAGGATTATTTTTGAGGAGCCGGCTCCACTGACAACAACTAGAGCAAACCTCAAACATTGGGTGCCAGCTGTAATTCTAAAGCAGCATTGGCAAGCTGGCTCCCGGGATTTGTCCAGCCCTGATATATTATATGTGCTGCATGCACAGTAGCCGTGAGGAGAAAGTCGTTGCCCTATGTTGAAGCTGTTAATGAGCAGTTTGGGCTAAACAGGCAAGTGGTAGTGAAGCCCAAACAGAAAAGTCATCATGGTCCCTCTACTTTAGAGATGCACCGATACCGTTTTTTCAGTATAAAAGTACAAGTACCAATACTTTGCTTTCGGTAGTCATCGATATCGAGTACCTATACCGATGTTTCCGCTGGCATGGAGCTGGCTTTCCGGGTAATCTAATTGCCAGAGAGGTTGGCTCCATGTTGTCTGGCCGGCTCAATGCTGATTGGCTGGGAAGCCGGCTTCCCGGCCAATCAGGAAGCCAGGTGACAAGTAATGACCTGCCTCCCAGCTTCCCGATTGGCCGGGAAGGCAGATTATTACTCGCTGCCC